CTTCTGGAGTATTCAATTTGTCCAGCATATTGCTTTTGAAATACTTTGGCTGTACGCCATAGGATGTCCAAAGATGTTTTATGGTACAAATATCTTAATTCTTTAGGGGAAATGAGTGATTTCTCCCCCCCTGAGTTGAAGGAAGAAAGTTAAAAAAAAAAAAAAAAGCAAGCTTATTTTCATTTATCTTTGCTAATACATAGTGGAATCTTATTTGCCAGCTATCTTCCTATTATGGTTCCTAATCTGAGTTAGATCAAAGACCCTTTCAGAATCCATTAAAAGCTCTGAGCCTTCTCTGCAGGAAAAATGGCTGTATACCCCAGTTTTCATGCTGTCTCATAGTGTTCCCAGAGCCAAAGCTTGTTCGTAGACCCTGCTGAAGAAACTGTTACATCTTAGAATTTTAGAGCTAATATTGGTGATAAAGGTCTTATCTCTTTAATTTACATACACTACACATTCTATAGTTTTATTTTTCTTCCGTATTTGTAACACATAGCTGAAACTTCTTTGATGCATGTTTAATTACTTCTTCTTGCTTAAGAAAGGCATTATACTCTCTTAAGAGGTAATATCAAATTACCATGCACTGTGCCTATGTAAAACATCTCATACCCTTGAATAGAACTCACAGAAGAAAAATCAAAATTACTAAATGAATATCCAAGCAATAAGTGTGATTGTCATAGGGTTATTGATTTTAGAAAAAATTAATTTTAGGAAGAGCCACAAGGGAGGTCATGAATTCTGGTTCTCAGTAATTTCTTATTTTTCTGTTTTTATCTTCGTTAGAATAGAGAAATAACTGTGATAAGATTTAATAGGATGCGCAGGGTCACCTCGATGAGGTTGACCACCAGGAAAAGGTGTTAAAATTCATATCGTGAAGTTTTTCATGGCTTCTTCTCCCAGTGGTTTTGTCGTTTCCTAAATAGATAACTTAATGATACCAGATTTATTTGTCACCTTAGAAATGTTTCCCTGAAGGCATTAAAAGGGCACTCTTAGGGGCGCCTGGGTGTCTCAGTGGGTTAAAGCCTCTGCCTTCGACTCAGGTCATGATCCCAGGGTCCTGGGATCAAGCCCCAACTGGGGCTCTCTGCTTGGCAGGGAGCTGCTTCCTCCTCTCGCTCTCTGCCTGCCTCTCCGCCTACTTGTGATCTCTCTCTGTGTCAAATAAATAAAAATCTTTTAAAAAAGGGCACTTTTAAATAACTGACTGCACTCGAGTATCTTAAACAGTAGTGTTAAAAGGGAAGGACGGAGCCGTACAAAGCCCTCTGTCCCCCACACTAAGGGATTGTACCCCACAAGGCCCATGTCATACTCAGAAATCTTCCTTCATTCTGTAGATTGCCCTCCTAGAAGTTCAACTTTTAGAAAAAAGTTGTCAAGCTTCGGAATCGTGAATTTTCTGCTTTGTCTTAAGCTCCCAAGTCCAAGGAGAGAGAGGAAGACCTGGGGTGCCTGCCTCTTGGCCACGTCTTGATCGTGCAGGGCTATGCTCAGTAGTACTTGAATTGGGTGAAGGGAACGATAGAAAAACTTTGCCGTCTTCACCTCTAGATCATGAGATGCCAGGGCCTTCTGTAACCTTATCTGACATCTGTGACTTTATGCTCCTGCCCACTCCAGTTCCTGGGAGGCACCTGAAGCTGCAGCATACATATGAACAGTTCAGGGATGGCTCAGCCTGGCCTGTCAGTGAGGCTGGCCTCCAAAATAAATGCAGTTTTAAAATTGCAGAATATCTTCCCTCTTGGATATTTGATAAATTTAAAAGTTGGTTTTAAAAACTGTCTTATTAATAACATGATTTCCTTCCTGTAGCTTCTTTAAATTCACTTCCTATTGCTTTTTATTTTATTGTGCCTCCTAAGACATTCCTAGCTTTACTGCTGTCTGTCTTGACTTTGTATCTGGTAATTAATGATCTGTAAGTTAACATTCAATCACTAGAGGCCTGTATAGGAAGGAAATATGCATTGTAATTGTTTGGTAAAGTGGAAAACCACTTTTCTTAGGTGCATTGGTACATCACGGGCAGCGTTCGTTCCAGTTGCTGTTGTTAAATACTTTGAATATCACTCTGCCTAGAGATACATTTTTCCTGGGTAAAGTAATAGCTTTTCTCTTTTAATACATAATCAGGCTCCTGAAAACCAAACTCAAAGGTTCCTCTTCCCCTGCCATTTCTTACTCCTTTGTATTTAATTTTAGCTCCGTTATTTTGCTTACTAGTTATGCCTTTTTTGGTTTATTCCTATAAGAAGACTAAAACCCTGAATATAAGAGACACTGAAATAAATAAGGACTAATTTTTTTACGTGATCAACAGTGTCAAAAAATATAACAGATCTTAAAGCAGAAAGAAGACCCAGGGGTCAACCACTCTGATTCAGCTGTTGGCCCATGTCAGGGACCTGAGATCAGAATCCAGGTTTCTTTTTTTCCCAGTTCAGTACTTTTGATTGTTGTCTATTGTTGTAAATTATTCTTTCTGAACCTATTTAAGAATTTTATGCAACCAAAGGTGAAATTCTATTTTTATTTATTTATTTATTTTTAAGGTGAAATTTTAAAGTAAGAAGAAAAGGAAACATTTCAGTCACTTTTTCCCCTTCCCTTTTTTTTTTTTTAAAGATTTTATTTATTTATTTGACAGAGATCACAAGTAGACAGAGAGGCAGGCAGAGAGAGAGAGAGAGAGAGAGAGAAGCAGGCTCCCTGCTGAGCAGAGAGTCCGACGCGGGACTCAATCCCAGGACCCTGAGATCATGACCTGAGCCAAAGGCAGAGGCTTAACCCACTGAGCCACCCAGGCGCCCCTCCCCTTCCTTTTAAAAGGTCTCAGCCACTGGGCTAATGATGGGGCAGGCCATCGCTATCTCTGCAGGACCTAACTTTTGGGTCCCTCTCTTAGGACTGTAGAGATAGGTAGATAGATAGATAGATTGATTTTTTAAAGATTTTATTTATTTATTTGACAGAGAGAGATCACAAGTAGACAGAGCAGCAGGCAGAGAGAGAGGGGAAACAGGCGCCCAGCTGAGCAGGGAGCCCAATGCAGGACCCGATCCCAGGACCCTGAGATCATGACCTGAGCCAAAGGCAGAGGCTTAACCCACTGAGCCACCCAGACGCCCCTATAGAGACTGATTTAATGTCACCCTCTGCAGTTTTCCTTTTCACGTAGATTTGTTAACTGAGCCAAGAGTACAGATTACTCTAAAAATCAGAAGTGGCCCCCTTTTTCCTTTTGTCTCTAAAATATCAAATCCAAGCCACATGCCCAGGGTACCCGCCTAGGGCACAGTCCACCACTGTGGACCCTACAGAGTTGTTTCTTTCTGCTGCATTCTGCCTAGATAGTCCCAGTCTTATCTGCCGGTTCCCCACCAAAGTCCCTTCCTTCCTTCCCTGCCTTTCCAGGGCCTACTGACCTCCAGTGATTCCCCTGTCCCCCCTCAGTACGATCCCCACCTAACTTTTTGATCTCCAGACACTTTTTCTTATATCTCACTGCTTCCTTTTAGGACTTCTCAAAGTCACTTCTGGTTTATAAAATACGCATCCATGTGCTCGCTCTTTATCCTGAGAACAGGGCTTCTGGGTGGCTCAGTGGGTTAAGCCGCTGCCTTCGGCTAAGTCATGATCTCGGGGTCCTGAGATTGAGCACCACGTCGGGCTCTCTGCTCAGTGGGGAGCCTGCTTCCCTCTCTCCTTCTGCCTGCCTCTCTGCCTACTTGTGATCTCTCTCTGTCAAATAAATAAATTTAAAAAAAATCTTTATCCTGAGAACAGTCTGGCTAGCAGGCGGTTTTCTTAACCCTTTGGGCTTTTCTCTAGGAATGAGTGCATTATAACACTATAACAACACTGATCTTTAGACAGTGCTCTGCCTTTGTTCCATCTCTGAATGAACCTAAAGGGAGGAGTTCAAGGCAGGAGGAAACCTGTCCATTTGGACTTGACCAGTGAACAAGATGAAGAAGACAGGGTGGTCTTAACTTTAGTTCTTGTATCTCACCAAAGGGACCCCAGGGCGCGGGGGACCAGCCTTAGTTACCCAGATGAAGAAGTCAACTGGAAATGCATCCTTGGCTGTACTGGATACTGACTCATCTGATTTATTGTTGACACAAGCAGGAGGAGTCTTGGCGACTGAATCTGTTAGTGACCATTGGGTTCCTGTATGGAATCGAGGGTTCCCCCTCAACAGGCATTTCTTTATTCTTCACACATTAGGGTGTTTAAACTTCTGACTCGAGTACTTTAAATATCATAAAACGCATTTTGTTTCAGTAGTTTGCTAAGGAAATCTCCGTTTTTCCTGGGGACTGATACCAAATGAGGAAGTTGGGTCCAACATGGTGACCGTCATGTTATCACATTTGTTTTCAGCCTGACTGATGGGTTAGTTTGGAGGAAGTCGACAGCTTCATACTTGGATTTAGCAAGAGAAGATGCTCTGGAAAGGTGTGATGTGGTGGGGACAGTCAGGGTTGTGGAGCAGAGGGATGTCCATTTGGTCTAAGGCTGCTTAGCATAAGAAGGGGGGGTTTTAATGGAGGTGGTGTGTATGTTTTCCAAGCCAGCAGAGGCTGGTGTTGATTCGTTATCAGAAGTACCTCAGGGTTTTTTTTATTGATGATCATCACCATACCTTAAAACTGGTTAAGTCCATGTCTGTTGCCAAGACTTGAACAACGTAGCTTCTCTAATACCCGTCACTAGCAAGTTCCTTCCAAAGCATGTAATGGAAAATGGTGTAATGTTTTATGACTCACTAAAACATGATCTGGAACAGCTCTTGGAGATCAGTCATGTCAAAATGTAGACTGATTTCAGTTTCCCAAGTTAACATTTTTCAAATCTGTGATGTTTGTCTCCTAAATGGCTAGACTTCCCCACTATGAAAATTCTGCATGCTGATAAACAGTGGAAATGCCTATCACCTTGTGTCATTACGTGAATTGTTTTCTGATTGTTTATAGGAACTAAGAGAAATCCATAATAAGCAACAGCTCCAGAAACAGAAGTCCATAGAGGCTGAACGTCTGAAACAGAAAGAACAAGAGCGAAAAATCATAGAATTAGAAAAACAAAAGGAAGAAGCCCAAAGGTGAGTCTTTTCTTGTGGATCGTGGATCTGGCAGGAAACTTTGAGTATTTATTATACCTTGCGGGGCTTCTGCGAGTACCTACTGACCAGAAATAGCCTTCAGTTGTGTGTGTGTTTGTGTGTGTGTGTGTACGCAAACACAAATACGTGTGTATATAAATCTTTGCATATATAAGTACCCCCCCCCGAAGTTTTTGTTTAGCTTCCAGAGCTCTCCTAAGCTACTACTATGTAGATAAATGGAATTATACAAGGAAATTAGGACACTTGGTATGCTCATTTGCATGCCAATGACCAAAATACGTTTCCAGTTCACAGCCTTTTAATAACAGTGGCTGTCCCAAGCGCTGGGTTTGAAATCAAAGCTCCTGAGCGCTCGCCACACAGGCTTTCTCCAGTAGGGCTGACAGTGTGCCACTCCGACTTCTTTCTCCTTTTCTTCAATTGCAAATTAAACTTGAGTATAAAAGAAAAAAATTTGCTTCTGCTTAGGATCCAGACACATTTTTTTGTTTGTCTTTGTTTGAATATTTGTGTTTGTGGTTTGTTATTTTTACTGGTAACTTTCGGTCCTGAATCGGGGAAATTCATTTATTAACTTTTCAATGTGTCTGATTTTGTTACTGGATATTTGCTTTCTAAAGGTCAATTAATTTTTGACTCAGGAAATAAAAATGACCAAATATTTCAGTGATGCACCATAAATTGTAAAAATTGGTTATTGAAGATAGAATAAAAAGATGAAGATACAGGGGCGCCTGGGTGGGCTCAGTCGGTTAAGCATCTGCCTTTGGCCCAGATCACAATCTCAGGGTCATGGCATCAAGCCCCACACATTGGGCTCCCTGCTCAGTGGGGACCTTGTTTCTCCCTCTGCCTGTGCACCCCCTGCTTGTGCTCATGCTCTATCAGATAAATAAAATCTTTTTTAAAAATACCTAGTATATTAAAAAAAAAAAAAATGAAGATACAGAACATGAGGCAGGTCATTGACTTTAGTGGGCTGAGCGCAGTTAAATTACCCAGAGGGGGTGCACATGTGGGCGTGTGTAGTACAGTTGTCCCTTGAACAACAAGGGGGTTAGGGGCACAGACCCCCCTGCTCAGTTGGAAATCTGAGTATAACTTCTGATTCTCCCCGAACTTAACTGCTAACACCCTACTATTGACTGGAAGGAAGCCTGCAGATAATAATAAATGGTTGATTAACACATATTTTGTACCTGTGTTACATACTGTGTTCTTGCAATGAGGTGAGCTAGAGAGAGAAAATGGTAAACTTAAAAGAGAAAATACACTCAGAGCCCTGTGCTGTCAAACACCTGCATGTAAGTGGACTGCACAGTTCACCAGTGGACAGGCGGGTAGGGTCTCTGGCCAGATTAGAAGACTGGTTTATAGTTCTCTTGGGGTATGGTTCAAGGATTCACTTCCTGGATGTGCTGATTACCCCTAACTCCATCCTTTCCTTATCTTCAAAGTGGATAAAACGCTTTGATTTTTCACTCTGTGCTGCACTGACCTTTAACATTTCTATGGAGTAGAAATCAACACAAAATATCCTAATACAAAAACGGCAGATTTCCTGCTTTCAGTCATATAAACAGTACCTAAAAATTAATTTCAGAAATTATAGTGGTTAGACACTATACATGATGACTTTTATTAATAGCAAATATTAAGCAAATTCTGGTCTGCTTTGTTGTTGTTACTACAATTGACAACATAGACAGGGCACCCCTTCCAAAACACTTTTTTGTTCTTTCTCAAATGATGTTTTGAAAGCAAGTAAAACGTTAAAGATTTAAGTTAAAAATTTTACTGCACAAAATTTTCTCATGCATACATAGTAGAAATAAATATATGTATATATTTTTTAAAGATTTTATTTATTTATTTGCCAGACAGAGATCGCAGGTTGGCAGAGAGGCAGGCAGAGAGAGGGGGAAGCAGGCTCCCTGATGAGCAGAGAGCCTGATGTGGGGCTCAATCCCAGGACCCTGGGATCATGACCTGAGCCGAAGGCAGAGGCTTTAACCCACTGAGCCACCCAGATGCCCGTAAATATATTTTTTAAATGGGGAATACAAGCTTTCCTTGTTTATATTATGTTCCTCTAGCAGTTCCCTAATTCCAGGGGATGACCTCTGTGCCTTGGCCATGCCGCAGGATTAGCAGTTCAGGGTGTAGAGCCTAGAACTGAGCTGCCTGGGATTGAGCTCCAGGCAGCTGTGGCCGTGTGACCTTGGACAAGCCTTTCCACATCTCTGCCTCATTTTACTACCGTGTAAAAATGGGGACTTAATAGGACCTACTCCCCAGGTGTGAAGGCTCATGGAGCTCGTATAGGGGAGCTATATGAGGATATTGTTCCTTTTGCATGTGAGTTTTCTGATTTTGTAGCCGATTGTGCAGTGAGAGGAAAAACAACCATCCCTGGTCCTGTCCTGTGGGCTTCAGGTCGAGGTCGTCTTAGACTTCAGGGCCTAGATGACCTGTTCATTGCACTTGTCCCTTCACGTCAGCTACTTGGACACACACAAAGCTTTCAGGTTCTGGAAAATGCCAGAGACTGATACTTAGTAACAGGATGGCTACTGCCTGAAAGGTTCCAACGAATGTGTTGCATCTGCCCTCAGTTCTGGGGAGCTGCGTGTGTTCGTGGGGGTACGCTCTCTCGTCTTCGTTTGTTCCTGTGTGTGTGATGGCTTTTTGCAGTGAAATACCAGTGTTAACCATCGAGAAGTCTCTGTTAGTCTCCCAACCACTTGGTAAAATACATCGGGAATCTTCTTCCCGTGCTTTCCTGAGTCCCGTGACTTTCATCTCCCTCAGAGGCGGAGCCCCGAGAGCCTCTGTCTTACGGGTTCCGATCCGTCCAGGCACCGTATGCCCTCCACGGGGAGCCTCCGTTCGCTCCCCGGAGCCTTTTCTGCCGCAGAGCGCACAGCGCGGCCGAGCGCGGGAGCTCCCGGCGGTAACCGAGCGTTTTGTTGACAGGCGAGCGCAGGAGAGGGACAAGCAGTGGACCGAGCATGCGCAGCAGGACGACGACCACCCGCGGCCGAGGAAGAGCCACGAGGAGGAGAAACCGCGCCGGGAGGAGAGTGTCAAGAAGAAGGACGGGGAGGAGAAAAGCAAACCCGACACGCAAGACAAGACGAGCCGGCTTTTCCACCCGCACCAGGAGCCGGCCAAGCCCGCTGTCCAGGCGCCCTGGTCCTCCACAGGTAGTAGGGGCCAAAAGCCATTCTAGCAAATCCGCTTCCTCCGCTGGGGTCGCGAGGAAGCCCCGCATCTCCGCAGGCCCCGTCTGGGCTCCTTTCACAGAGATGGGGGCGAACGCCGGTCGTTCGTCCTCCGGGCTCACGGCGCGCCTGTTTAATCTGCCACCACGCGCCCCGCCCTTGGTCCCTCTGACGCTGGCATCCAGAGCCTCTGCCGACCGAAGCGGCCCGAGTTTCCTTCCCGAGCCCCATCCAGAAACCCGTATTCCGGATTCGGAAAGAACCTGGTGCTTCTCCAGGTCGCTCTTCTGCTCTGGGAATTACTGAGCTGTTCCGGGCACAGGAAGTGGCACCTTTTCCCCTTGCCTTACACTGTCCCTGTCTTCACCGATGCTGCATGAAGCCATGCTTCTGACGTTTTGAAAACTGTGACTTTTTTTTTCTCTTTGATCAAAAGTTGCCTCTTTAAATCATGATAAATGAAAGCCTTTGAAATGGCTAGAAACAGTATCTCTCTCTCTCTCTTTTTTTTTAAGATTTTATTTATTTATTTGACACAGAGAGAAAGAGCACAAGCAGGAGGAGTGGCAGGCAGAGCGAGAGGGAGAAGCAGGCTCCCCGAGAGGCAGGGAGCCCGATTTGGGGCTCGATCCCAGGATTCTGAGATCATGACCCAAGCCGAAGGCAGTGGCTTAACCAACTGAGCCACCCAGGTGCCCCCAGTATCTATTCTATCACGTGTAACCTAGTATGTATTTTTGAGATTCTCGTGTGGCTCTGGAGATAACACTCAGCTGAAGAAAGTGACTGCCTTTTCCTTTGTATGGCACATGATACCGATTTCATTTGTTCCATTATCGGCGTGCTTTGTGTTTGTGTACAAAAAGAAAAGAAGGAAGCACACTGTTCCATAGGGTTTATTTGTTCCTGTTTACAGGGGGCAGAGATGGGAGTGGGGTCCAGAGTTGGGCCCCACATCCAGATGCCTGCCGTCCAGGGAGAAAGGCTGGCCAACAATTTATGTTTCAATATTTTCTTGGACATGAGAAATAATTCCACCAGTCCATGATCTTAGGCAGTTAGTTTAAATTCCTTATGTTTTCTCCTAGTATAAAATGAGGATTTCTTCTTCCCGTGGTCAGTGGGAAATGTGGCGCCTCTTCTAGCTCCAGACTGCATGAAGATAACACCTTCCCCTCACTGCTTTTCAGAGAAAATAGATGTGTGGCTAAACACCTCCATTTCTAGGGCAAAACAGTTCAGAGGGCCGTGATTAGGTACTATTGAGTGAATCGGAAATCACACTGTCTTATGCTTGCATGCCTTTTTCTAATAATTTTACTTAAGATCTAAACTATTTTCACGTAAGGTCTGTCATTGGGCTTGTTTCCTCAGCCCTGGGAGATGTGGAGGAGGACTTACTTCCCTGGGGATGATCGATAATAACCGTTGTTGGCAAAGTCAGCACTTAACGTTTCATGTGATTGCTTTAGCGGCCAAAGATAATCAACATTTCCAAGTCTTCTAATGTGGAAAGTTGGGCTTTGCTTCCTGCCAGAGGAGTTTTCTTCTTGGCCTTTTATTTTCTCTCATTCTAACCGCTGCATTGTACTCGGCGCCCTGGGTGGGGGAGAGGGGTCCTGATGCTTCCCAGATGTGCCCTTCCAGAGCCTCAGCCAGGACCTAAGACAGCCTCACTGTGTTCAGCACTGGGACACCTCTGTCCAGGGAGCGGCAGCCAGTGAACTCTGACGGATTTGAGCTGCCAGCTTCAGACTTGGCTCTCCTTCGGCACGAAGTCTGTGCTTCAGAAATCCCTTGAGTAGATGGAAAGGGCTCAGGTGCTAAGGTCAATAGCAGGGCTAGCTGTTTGGCTTGTTGTCACGCATACGTGTTCCGTGTAATGCTTTATTTTTGTTCCCTTCTCCCCACTGTTTTGTAAATAGAAAAAGGCCCACTTACCATTTCTGCACAGGAGAACGTAAAGGTGGTGTATTACCGAGCACTCTATCCCTTCGAATCCAGAAGTCATGATGAGATCACGATCCAGCCTGGAGACATAGTAATGGTAAGAAAGATTCCAGTCAGAGTGTGATTTTTCTGTCGATGATTAGCATCTTTTCTCCTCTTGCACTTTATTTGACAGCGTGAAGTTGTCGCCGAGTGTGAAATCCAGGGTTCTTGAAGTATGGGCTCCATCTTCCTTTCCTATTAGAACGGAAACTGATGTGTAGAAATGAATCCCAGCATCACTTGAATGGAGGCGTTAAAGAAAATGGGTTCTTATCACAGCCTTAGCGTATTTTTAAATCTGTAAAGGTCTGGTAATTTCAGAGTTGAGATTGCTACTTAAATACTATGAATAGTCTTTGAGAAATAGTTCTAAATGCAGAATGCTTGATCATCACCTTCACAGTTGCCAGTGAGAACTTTTGTATCTTTGGATCAGTGCATCGTTTTGCCCCTTTAATTGTGAGATCTTCGAATTGCGTGAGGAGTCGTGAATCACATACCGTTAATCTGCCTTCTTACCCCACAAATGAGCACATGAAAGAGTTCAGAATTTTGCTCTGTCATAGTTCATTTCCTTGAATTATACTAATAGTTAAATTGAATCGTGTGATTGTAACTGAGACGATAGTACCAGTTTGAGAAATAGTAAAGCCACGTGGTTGACCTAAATTATTTTCTGCAAGAAAACAATAGTTCTTCCGCCTGGTTCATAACCTCAGAAGTAGGAGCCACAAAAGTGGTCAAACTTTGCATTACTGTTGGCAGTTTTTGTTTGTTTAAAGATGAGGATGGTTCCAGATTGCAAAAGAACGCTGAGGGAGACAGACGGGCTTGTGGTGCCAGTAGTAGGTGTCTTTGAAGTTGAAGGGTAACGCCCAGGTCATTGCACTGTTACTCACACGTACGTCTTGCATGTATACATCAGACCTCTGCGTGGGGACCCTATGATCCTTCCTGAGCCAAAATAAATAGAAAGAACGGTGTGTTTGGTCTTCAGAGATCTCAGTCCTATTTCCCCTTCATTTCTGACAGTTTTTTTCTCAAATTATCATGGGCTTGTGTGAAGGCCTGAGTGGCAGCGTCACTCACTGGTTACAGAAATTACTGCTAGGTTCTGTGGCGTGGGCACGGCGCTCTGCTAGGTTCTGAACACATGGATGGCGTCGCAAGCATCTTGTTCAGCCCTGACTCTTTCCCACGCTGTGTTTTCTAATAGTCCAAAGCAGCTTTACTCATGCTGCCTCGTCTTTGAAATGGTGCGGCTTTGAAAGCCTACGAATTGGAAAAAAATAAAGTCATTAAATAAAATAAAGCCTACGAATTGCTAAAATATATAAAAATACAATACTAAGACTCTAAACCTTACGAAAGGACAATGTGATATCAGAGAGGACCTCGTTACAAAGTTGTTTCTTTTTAAACAAAAAAAGAGCCTAAGGTTTTTGAAACTGGATTTTGTTGCAAAACAAGGTACAGAAAGGTAGGGCGCTCGTTTCTTGAGATCAGGAAGTGTTACAGATGTTACAGTAAGGAAGTGCTCTAGATGATTTGTACTTCAATGAGAAAATGTTGCTATATTTTGGAAACATAGTCTTATTACACGGATATTTTTCCTCAAGCTGGCTAACCACCAGCTTGACTAGATGAATAGAGTTTAGATGTGCTGTAAAAATAAAACATTTCATTAAACATATTTTGCCTTGCTTTCAAACCTTTGCTTTCCTGGTGGAGGTTAAAGGGGAATGGGTAAGTCTGTGTAACTGTCAGGAAGTCTGCATCTTATTAAATGTTTTCTTCTTTTAAATCACTTTAATTCTGTGTAATGTGTAAGTACACATATCTTTGGGTGTTGTTGTGGCAGTACAAATATGTTTTGAGTTTGTGTAGTAGGTTTTGCTTTACCAAAAAAACAAAAAAAAAAAAAGGAGGTATAAAAGTTTGTGTACTGAATTTCTCTTCGCTAGATTCCGTTTAAGGACTAACCTGAACGCTGTGTATTTGGCAAATTATAAGGTTAAGTCTCCATCTCAGGCTACAGACAAAAATAAGTTCCAGGTAGTTTAAATTTAAAAGTTAAATTTCTTTAAAAAAAAATTTTTTTTTAAAGGAGAATATGGGAATAATTTCCTGGCAATGAAATACCTTTCTGAGTTAAAACCAGAAGCCATAAAAATGAGCAGTTTTGACAATATAAAATAATTAAAACTTGCATATTGCAAAATACATCCACATTATATAAAGACTAAAAATTAATACGAAAGAAACCCAAAACTTACAAATCTTGTCCAAGGATATGAAGAGATATTCACACATGAAGAAAAGTATATTGATTTTAGAAATATACAGAAAGTCTTTATCTCATTGGTGATCAGGAAATGCAAGTTTAAAAAAAAAAGTAGATAGCATTTTTCATTTCCCACCTGAGCAAGTTTAAAGGTTTCATAATAGCCAGCTCTGTCAAGAGTGCAGGAAAGTAGATGAAATACACACTGTCAGCATGGTTGTATGAGTTGATTAAGCTATTTGAAAAGCAATTTGATAATACCTGTTCAAATTTAAAATTCTTATTCCCCTTCACCCAGAAATTCTGTTACTCTCCCTCCTCTAGACAGGTTTTCGGCACCTGCGCAAATACATGTGTAGACAAATGTTCACTGCAGCGTTGTTGGCAAAAACAAAAAAGGAATAGCCCCATATAAGTAAGAGTGGTTTAGATAAATTATGATACAGCTAAGCAGGAAGATTTAAGATGTGAAAAAAAAATTACATAATCTACGTATATAGATAAGCTCGCCAGTAAAAAAAACAAAAACAAAACAAAAAGAACATGAACAGTATAATTGCATTTTGGTTAAATAGAAATCTGTGTGTGTATATATGTGAATGTTTCTGTGTGTGTGGTTTAATTCTTGAAATACAGGCATGAAACCGTGAACATTGGCTACTGCTTGGCAGTAAAGAAGGGGCTTTTTGTGTGTAATTTTTTGTACTTTTATATTATTTTCATATTTACAAACGTACTAACATTTGTAATTTTTAATGGAACACTGAAAATAAATCCAGCTTTGATAAGTATTATAGAGGAGGAGTACCCAGGTCTGGAGTGGTGTTTGCTTTATCTCAGACGTCCCAAATATGTCATTAAGGATGAAATTATACAGCTAGACATAATTTACTGGTTTGCCGAGGGGACAGCAGCCGTGTCTTCTACTACACAATGCAGCATTATACCCCAGATGGCATCCAGCTGTATTGTCTTCGTGAGATTAAGGATCAGCACAAAATAAAAACATGGAAACTAACATGATAGTAACAATTTTTTTTATTCCCTGAAGTTTGAGGTTAAGAAACATGATCATGAAAATACGTATTAGAACATTACTATCAATCTCTTGCTTGACTAATCAGGATTTAACTTATTTTTCTGGGCATAATCATCAGATTCTTTGATTTCTCAAATTATAAATTAGTTGACTATCCTGTTAGATTTCAGAAGTCTAACGTTTCCTTTTTTAACGTCGGCAATCTTGGAGGGAGGTTTAAAAAGTCTTTTGTTTTTAAAAAAATCTTAACTGTCAGTCCAGTTTTCTCCAAAAATATTTTTTTCCACGGTTGACTAAAAAATTAAAGTGGTATCTTGTCTGTAGTCCCGTTCTAAATATTGTTTATAATAGAAAGAAATATAAGATGATGTCTGCCATTCATGTTTAAAATCTTCGTAGAAAAGTTGGGAGAAACACATGTAAAAGCCAGTATTTGATGAAGTTCTCAATGAATGCTTGCTAGCTCTGCTAGGAAAGAGGAAAGGAATCAGAATGGACTGATACGCTCAGGGAAGAACTTACTAATGGAAGCTTCCTCATTTGACCTTGAGTTTGACAGCTAGAACTTAGATACTGTGAACACTGATGGCACGTCTTCTGATCCAGAGGTCCTGGTACTTGGAGGGCAAATAGATCAAATTTGACATCCTTGATGCATTGGAATAGCATTAGAAATTAGAAGAGGGGCTCTTGGCTGGCTCAGTCGGGAGAACATGCGACTCTCGATCTCAGGGTCATGAGTTCAAGCCCCACGTTGGGTGTAGAGCTTACTTAAAAAAAAAAAAATTTAGAAGGCTTTTGCTCACTTGCATTTTGTTGATGTTTGTCTTAAGAGCACAGGCTGATGATAACTCAGCAGGTCTGGGTGGTGTAGGGCTGAGTACATTAGAACTGGTCAGGGAGCTTAGAAGAAGTAAGCATTCCAGGGCTCACCGCCAGAGACTCTGGGAACTTTACTCTGTATACAGGATTCAGAATCTCCTCCAGGTGGTTCTGTTAGGCAGTCACTTTTGGGAACCACCACTCTAACCTAATGCATTTTTCCTGTCAAGACTAATTCTCAGTCATTTCTGAAACATATCCTCTTAGAAATATCCCCGAAAAGGATACTTCTTTAGTGGTTGTCAGCCATCAACCAGTTGAGTTCATTCTGAAGATTATCTTTTAATTTGGTCTTATTCCTGTAACATTAAACTCATTGTTTTTCCTTGTTTTCTCTTGAGGGAGATTTTTAAAAATAATAGTATCTTTTCTTTCCTGCCTTCCTTCAACTTCCATAACCTTTACATCTGAGGTTGGCTTGTTTAGTAACAATTGGCCATTGTATCATCACTGTTTGGAGGGATGAGTACATGCCCGATTCCAGGAGGGGGCCAAATGTGGCCCCCTGCCTGTTTCATAGTAAAGTTTTATTGGAACACAGCTGGACCCGCTCATTTGCATATTGCCTTCACCTGCTTTTGTGCTGCAAGGGCAGAGTTGAGTAGTTCCTACAGAAGAAAGATCTGATGACCTCTAAATTAGAGCTTCAGAAAACAATTTTAATATTCCTTATTTTTTTATTTGACAGACAGAGATCGCAAGTAGGCAGAGAGGCAGGCAGAGAGAGAGGAGGAAGCAGGCTCCCCACTGAGCAGAGAGCCTGATGCGGGGCTCCATCCCAGGACCCTGGGATCACGACCTGAGCCAAAGGCAGAGGCTTTAACCCACTGAGCCACCCAGGTGCCCCCAATTTTAATACTCGAACCCGAAAGTTTTGGGAAGACCGTCTATTTCCAGGCTGGCAAATGCAGGAACCATGTGCTGCTCCCCGTGCTGCTCAGCACATCCCAGGCAGCCCCACCAGCTGCTCTGAGTCGGCACAGTTTAAATCTCCTTGCTGTCCTTCTTCTGTGTCATGCTTGCGAGGGGAGAGGGACTTTCTCTTTCCCTTCTTTGCGACAAGGTCAGAGATTTCAGAAATACGCTGCCTGATGAATCTGGCAGCCGCGAACATTGAGAAAAGAGACGATACTATCGGGCTTTGGCCATATGTGCTTGCACCTCATAGCTGCCATGTGCGTTTGTTGCATCCAAGCCCTGCAGCAAACAGTGGATATTAACATCCTGTAGAATAGATCGGTAACATTCGAGACATGTTCGCAGTATCTGGGGTTGTGTTTCCCTTTTTGGTGATGTTCCACTAGAATGAGCCCAAATGCGTGTTACAGTGGGGCTGCTTAAGTGAAAGTGTATTAAGACCAGTATTGTTACTATTTCCGATCCCCCTGACTTAGAGCCCCCAGTAGATGAATCTACTTCATGTCCATTTAACTGCACATTACAGCCAGCCCTGTTGCCAAATTTGTATGCCTAACCCTTGCTCTGTTCTAATCTTACGTACTGTTTTTCCACCATTGGGTTGGCATTTTGGGTCGAGTTTCCCAAATCCAGGAAGAAGTATTTCTCCTTTTCATATGAGAACCTTTGTGCTTTTTCTAAGTGGTTAATGTTAAGAGTGAATTTTTCTCATATCCTCTGAATCTTAAAATTAAGTTATACATCAAAGTTGATGGATTCCTTTAAAAGCAAATCAGGCTAATGAAGATATTGTTCTGTCAGAGTTGACCAGTGTATTTCCTTGGTTAAAAGGGAAAAACCGATCTCATTGTTACCCTGAAGGATGGGGGAACTCTTGTTGGCACAGATAAGAAGCTGATGTAGCACCATGTCTGCTTCCTAAGGATATAGAACAGAACAGCTGGGTGTGATCAGCTACTTGGGGTACAAGCTAGACCTGCCTATGGGACTTCACATCCAATTCCAGATGTCAGTCCTAAAAGTCCTGTGAAGCAGATAAGACCCTTTGTGTCAAGGGAATGACGGTAACACACAGAATATAATTGAGTAAAGCAGCAGACCTCTGAGAAGGTCCTACTGCTTGGACAGATGAGTAGCAGTTCCAGACAGGCCATGATCCAGGATTGAACTCCAGCCCCTTTTTGCTCCTGGCAAAAAGGCAAACGCAGAGGGCCGGGGGTCCCAGGCAGGTTCCTAGAGCAGAGATTGCCCCATACAGAAAACCAGGGATGGTTCCCTACAGTGAAGGTAAAGACCAGGCTCTTAGAATGGGACCGAAGCCCAAATGAGAGCGCTTCAGTACAGGCTGAGAGCGGGACAACGGGAGAGGTGGCTTTTAAAAAACTATCATTAAACTTCTCACATGCCAGGCGGCATTTAAATATTTCACAATTCTCATAGGCACCATAATGAGACAGGTACTGCTGTCCCCATGTGACAGATGAACTTGAGACACCAAGAGATAGTTGCCCATAGTCACCTGGTTAATAAACGGTAGAACCAGTATTGAAATTGGGGTAATCTAACTGCAGAGCTCTACTCTTAACCATTACCCTTCGCTGTCTGAGGCTAAGTCCCTTTGTCAGGCTCTCGTTCCTTCCTCACTCACTCCTGCCTGACGTCACCTTGGTCCTAGAACGAGGGGTGGAGGGGGTTGGGAGCTTGACTGTTGTTGAACCTGCCCAGGAGTTGGGGATCCCCCAGCACAATCTGGCCTCGAAACAACTGTTTCCATTGCAGAGCTGTGGCGATGTTTTAAGTATGTCATAATATCACCAATAAATATAAATGAAGAAGGAAAGGCGTTTAGCCATTTGCATTTCACATAAAATCCAAGTGGAAAAAAAAATGTCATCTCAAATCTTCATCTAGAGAAACAGTTGGGGCTGCCCAGAAAAAGAAACGTAAGCACAAAACAGTGCGGGGGACTTGAATGAGAAGTGGCTAATGTGTTCACATCCGATGTAAGCCTTAGCAAGACTATCAGAACTGTAAAGCCAAAAATAGAACCTCCAAAGCAGTATTGCTCTTTATCTTGGGGAAATCCTTGGAACGTGCTCAGTTTTAAAAATGGCTTTGACCCCAGACAGTAAGGGTTCCTTAAGGTGGAGCAGAGTGCCAGCATCTCCTGCTCACTGGAAGTTTCACAAGTAAATTGTAGAGCTAAGTTGTAAGCTGTGCAATTCGACTTTTTCCGGCCCATCCCAAGCATGTTTGAAATTCAAGTATGCTAATAAACGTTGCGACTCTGCACTGAATACAGGTGGTAGATGTTTGGTTTTGTAGTTTAGGGCTTTATTTTTTATTTACTTATTTATTTTTCCTGTGTATTTGAATGAGGTGGAAGACTGGTATTTTTTCTCTTTTTCCAAAATCATTGTTAAGATCCTGCCTACTCATTTCTGTGATTTCTGAAAAGCAACATTAATGTCTGTTGAAGTGTCCAATGTTTTACCTCCTCGGGCAGTATATATTAAGGGAGAAAAATAAGATAAGGTCTCTGATAGACCCTTATTTGATACAGTAATGAAAACAGTTTTCTAACAGTGTGCCTAGTTTTCCTCTAAAGTCGTTCGCTTGTTGCTCATAAAATAGTGGGGGTAACTCATAAAGATAGGTAGAACCATCCTGGTGACTGGGAAGGATCCTTTTAGGTTAGAATTAAAATGCAAACATTAAAAGCACTTGATATAATAACGTCTGTGAGAGTTTTAAACAGCAGAATTCTGTATTCTCAAGTGCATTTTTATGATATTAAACTTATATAAAAGAAAAACACAGGACCTTAATAAAATTGGCTGTTGCCATGAATAAACTCTAATTTAATTTAAATTAGATATATGATGAGGAAATTAAAGAGCTTTTAGGTGGGTTAACAGCATCTTTTCTTCCCGTGGGAAAAATCTAAGATACCTAAGACGGTGTTTTCATCTTTCTCATCCCTGTACTCAACAGATACCGCTTAGTTACTAAGAGATTTTTAGAGTACCAGGTTAATGTTGATGGCACCCTTTGGTTTCAGCTTTAAATCATAAGCCCAAGTCAAATAAATTAATAATTCCATGACCTCCTGAGTGATGAAGTCTGTCACATCACTTTCCAGTTCAAGGTAACTAAGAATTTCAACTATGGGCCTGAGGGCTTGAGTCACTTTATCTTAATTGCCATTGCTAGGAAAGTGGGGAGGATATTTTAAAAAAAGAAAGAAAAGGGCAGGAAGAACGAGAACTTGCATCACAGCACATACTGTTTGTTCAGAATTAATGTTTAGAGACCGTTTTCCCAGACACGGAGAGAATAATAGGGTGAGGAGGCATCTGTGCGGTGTGTCCGTCCGCTGGGGTCGGAGGCTTGGGGCTTGGTCCCTGGTCCCGGGAGAGCGCCTAGTGTCTTCAGGGGCTGATTCAGCTCCAGCGCGGTTAAACTTTGTGACTTTTCCTGCAGGTGGATGAGAGCCAAACTGGAGAACCGGGCTGGCTTGGAGGAGAACTAAAAGGAAAGACAGGATGGTTCCCTGCAAACTATGCAGAGAAAATCCCAGAAAATGAGGTTCCCGCTCCAGTCAAACCCGGGCCTGACCCGACCTCCGCCCCCGCCCCCGCGCTGGCCGTGCGCGAGCCCCCAGCTCCTGTGGCAGTGACCGCTCCGGAGCCCTCCGCGACCCCCAACAACTGGGCTGACTTCAGCTCCACGTACGTGTAGGCTCGCTCAGTTTTCTTTCCAATGTTGTCAGGGTTTGGGGCTGTACCTCTGCGCAGAGGGGCGGGCTTATTCCATCACCCCGTTCCCCGACCCCTCTGCTAGAGGACTGGGTGGGATGCGCTTGGCGCCCCGCAGTGAGCCGTCCCGGCACACGCGACATCGGGCCACTCGTCTCACCGCGCTGGGAGCTGGTCTGCAGCTCTCCTTCGGGGGGAAGAAACGGAGAAATGTGACACCCAAGGCAGTCAGCACAGAGAGTCATTTCCTGCCTGTAACCAGCCCTTTTCTTTGCTGGTTAGAAACAGAAATTGAATTGTCACATGGCTTTGAACAGGATAGAAAGCTGTTTCCTTCAAAGCTTTGCTCTGTTCTCTTGTCATCGGTCTGGTACACACGTGTCAGGCGGTGCCCTGGGTCATCGGGAAATGGCCTTAAAAACTGCGTATAAGCAGAGGTTTGAAATGATGGAGGAAACCGCTGTCCACGCTTACATTTAGAGGACCATCATCTATGTGTGCAGTTGTTGAATACTATTTTATTTATTTTTTACTCTTTTTTTAAAAGATTTTATTTATTGACACAGAGATAGAGAGCACAAGTAGGCAGAGCAGCAGGGAGAAGTAGACTCATGAGCAGGGAGCCTGACGCAGGGCTCCATCCAAGGACCCTGAGATCATGACCCGAGCCGGAAGCAGACGCTTAACCAACTGAGCCACCCAGGCATCCTGTAAAAGTGTTTTAGACAAGCAGTCAAGCAGGAGTGATTTGAGTAAGAAGTAGCTTACTTAATTTTTTTTTCCCTAAGTCTAATCATCTTTGAAAAGAAACAGATGGAAGGCCAGGAGTCAAGACATAAAGCTAGAGAAAGATCAGATGGCTCAGACGGGAGAAAAGTGTGGTGACCAAGGGCAGAGAAAGTGGAGGGAAGGATGGAAGGAACAGCAAGTTTTTGATACTCTTATTTTCATACAAAAGGTTGCAGATGCTACCTAAGGTCCTCCCTATCTAGCCTCTCCTGAAAAGTAGTCTGCCATTTTCATTTTTATTTTTTAAAGATTTTATTTATTTGACAGAGAACACAAGTAGGCAGAGAGGCAGGCAGAGAGAGAGGAAGGGAAGCAGGCTCCCTGCTGAGCAGAGAGCCCGATGTGGGGCTCGATCCCAGGACTCCAGGATCATGACCTGAGCTGAAGGCAAACTCTTAACTGACTAAGCCACCCAGGTGCCCAGTTCTGACCTTTTTTTCTTTCTTTCTTTTTTTTAAAAAATTATTTATTTATTTATTTGACAGATCATAAGTAGGCCGAGAGGCAGGCAAAGACAGAAAGGGGGAAGCAGGCTCCCCACCGAGCAGAGAGCCCGATGTGGGGCTCGATCCCAGCACCCTGAGATCATGACCCGAGCTGAAGGCAGAGGCTTTAACCCACTGAGCCACCCAGGCGCCCCAAGTTCTGACCTTTTTTTAAACGAAGACTAATGTAGAAGACAAATACTTTGTTTTCTAAGATTTCATTTTGCCGTGGTCCAGTCATTGTGACTCTCTCCTGTGATACGTGAGTGGTGTGTATTTCTCCTGCTATTATTATGGGCGTCTTATTTTCCAAACCCAGAATCAGGATCTGCAGTCTCACAAAGGAATTATTTTTTTAATTTTTAATAGAGACAGACAGAAAGGGGCAGAACTCCATCCCCAGCCCAGCTCCATAAGCAAGCTCCGTCCCCAGCCCAGAGCACAGCATGGGGCTCCATCCCATGGCTGTGAGACCATGACCTGAGCCGAAATCAAGAGTCAGACGCTTAACCGACTGAGCCACCCTGGCACCCCTCAAAGGAATTATTTTGATTTTCAGATGTGTTTGTGTCTCAAAGACGTGAAGAGTAAATTACGTTTGGATTTGCGTTCGCACAGATATATTTATTTAACATTATACAAATCACAATATTAAAGCTGTCCCTGAGATCCAGCATGCTGGGTAGCTATAAGGATCCCAGTTGTCATTACCCTGGTGACCAGACATGTGGCCTGGTTTTTGCTGTGGGTTGGAGGGGACAGAGAGATGGCCTTAAGCGCCAGCTGCGAAGCTGGCCTGTTTTCACAGGTGCTGCCTAACTTCTTTTTTGCTGGCTGTACTGTTGTTTTTACAAATGACGAAGTGGCAGATATATTGTTGCCATTTTATCAATGAGGGAATGGAGATTCAGAGAGACGCTGTCATTTGCCTGAGGTTCATCACTAGGGCGTGAAGCTCGGACTCGAACCCGAGTCGGAACCTCTTTCCACCCTGTCTTGTTTGTGAATTTAGAAAGCCCCATAAATGCAGTGGGTCTCTGTCTGCTGTGGGTGAGAAGTGGGCGTGTAGGAAGGACTTGCTTCTCATGGTGGCCTATGTTTCCTTCCAGGTGGCCCACCAGCACGAACGAGAAGCCAGAGACAGACAACTGGGACGCGTGGGCCGCTCAGCCCTCGCTCACTGTCCCAAGCGCCGGCCAGCTAAGGCAGAGATCAGCATTTACTCCAGCCACGGCCACTGGCTCGTCTCCGTCTCCTGTTTTGGGCCAGGTAAGGGCAGTCGGTGGGAGTGTGAAGTCCCGGCCTGCTGGACCCAGTACCAGCACATTCGGCAAGTGCATCTTGACAGTGTTATTTCTACGTATCCGGGTCGGGTGGCAGCGTGAATTCGGTTCACGTTTTCTCAGTAGTGTTAAGGAGTCGGGAGAGTTCCGAAGAGGGTAATCTCCTGCACAGGTTGACAGGAAGGGGCATTTGAACAGCATCTTGATTTTATTCGGTAGAGGAGCGGGCTGGCCTGTCGGCCGGCGGATACTGTGAGGAGAGTAGGTAGGACAGAGGGTTTCAGGAAAAGCTTGGGCCAGTCGATCTGGGGAGACCAGTGAGTAGATATCGGGAAAGATTGGTTGATTATAGGTGAGTGGGATAAAGTAGTTGTTCTGAATATTACTACTCCATACAGTAAAGCAGCAGTTGACGTACTACAGTAAAGATAAGGGAAGGGAATGTCTACAGATAATCAAACAGAGCAAATGCCCGTCTGGCAGGCAGTTGGGAGCGAGGGACAGTGTCTGACCTGGAGCAGCTTCATGGGGAGGGGCAGGCAGAGGACTTGGGGCAGCAGCGACCGTTAGGCAGGATGGAGTCACACTCTGTTGGAGCCAAAGGAAAGGAAAGGAAAGTGGTCACAGATTGAGCCAAGGATTTGACCTCAGAGAGAAACGGGGGCACAAGAGAAATTTATTTCTAGTGGGAAGGAGAATCCGGGTTGTAGATGTGTTCGGTTTAAGGTGAACGTGGGGCACCATGCGGGCCCATCTGACAGGCAGTGGGAACGTAGATCAGCTCTGAGGCCATGGGTGAGATCTTCAGAAAGGGTGTGTGTGTATTCTCCGACCTGGGAGAGGAGGAGGAGCTCCCGCCCAGAGGGTTTCCTTCCCTTTGCTTCTGTCCCAGCTCCGCTGTTTGCAGAAAGGGGGTTGGTGATCAGGGCAGAGAGCAGTCAGTGTGGCAAGAAGAGTGTACCTGTGACTTGGGAAGGGATAGGAGAAACCGATTGCGAAGGGCTGGGGAAGCAAAGAGCGAGTGGAGAGGTTTGTGACCCCGAAGTCACAGGAGCAGAGCAGAGGGAGGGCACCGGGGAGAAGGGGGCCACCGAGTCAGGCACTGAGAACTTCATGGTGGAGGGTGGGAACCGTGTGCAGGGTGCAGAAGGAAGACAGGATTCTTCTTCTGGGAGAGGGAGGGTGAGGAGAGACTGGAGGAAGATAAAGGAGAAAAAGGAGTTCGGGGGGACCGTGTGGCCGCACTCTTGGGAGCGGACCCTGAGGGCTGTGGAATGTGCAGAATCAGCCAAGAAGAGTGAGGGACTTCGGGCCTGGATTTAACCTGAATGTGCGACCGGTCATCCCTGCACTTTGTCTCTGCTCTCTGCAGCCACACTTTACAGCCTGGGATTAGAAACAGCAGGGAAAAGCAAAGCTGCTACTGTGATCATTATTACCATCACAGCAACGCTGTGGATAGATACACTCCACTTCCTTAACCTTTTAGAGGAAGTGTTTCTGTTATAGTGTGGAGACCAAGGCCTAGGGAGAGGAAGCAGTTGTCCAAAGTCACGGAATGAGTAAGTGACACGCATGGGGTTCCAACCCTGAGGCCAGGCTGTGTTCGGCTGGCCCTGGGCTGGGTTATTTGCTTGTGTCCCTGCAGAAAGGTCGACAAGGCAGGCACAGGGATGGTGTCTCAGGGGAAGGGTTCATGAGACGCTAGTGAGGACTCAGCCAGTCGAAGTGGCTTGGCAGAGGGACGGATAGAAGCAGCCGGGAGAATTGGACAGCGCAGAACAGCCGCAAGCCAGAGGGCCGAGGGGACGGGGAGCTCCTGGGAACCCAAGGGAGGAAAATGGGAGGCAGAGACTCTGTGGGATTTGAAAGAGTGTGGAGCCGAGATGGAAGGGAGGAGGGACATCGCAGGTTTAAGAAGGTGAGGTCCCAGGAAGATGGGGGTGGAGAGGTGGGCCCCATGGCCACTGGGGTATTTGACCTGCGTCAGTGCTCACCATCGAGCATCGCTAGGAAAATGTCTTCTAAAGGCAAGTACATGTTGGTTCTGAATGAGCTGTCTTTGGCCATTATCCTTTGTTTCTGTCCATTTTCACATGTGATGGAAAGTTGACCTATTTTTTTAGCATTATCTTAAGATATTGTAATGGTTTTATGTTACGATTTTTTAAAAAGATAATGAATGGCTCACCCTGCCTTTCCAGCCACGTCTCCTTCTACACCCCTCCATGAAAGTAGGCTCCACGCACCCCAGGATTGTGCTCCTCTTCCCGGACCCTTTGCAGTGCGCCGCCTCGAGGCCTTTGCCGGTGCTGTGCCCTCGGCCTGGAGTGCCCTTCTTCCGAAGCCCTAGCTCGCACAGTCCTCCTCGCCCTTCGAGGCCCGACTCCATTGCCGCTTCCTCTGTGACATTGTCCCTGTTGCCCTCAGGCAGAATTCCTTCCTCTTTGCTCTGTGTTCCCACAGTGAACAATTGGAGCCTGTCGGTGGTAGATTTCATTCTGCCAAGTGCTGTGGATGGCTGCGTATGTCTCTTTCTCCTGCATTAATTGTGAAGTCTTTGCTGAGCATATCATACTGTCCCTTTTTATGGTGCTTTGTGGTTAATAAAGTCTTTTAACCTAAATTATTTTGAGGAGCCAGAGATGGCATTTCATTCCTCTTTGTAACCACGTTGGCATGTAGACGTTCACAGGGGATCACGAGGCATTTATGCCCCGTGTCTCTAAAAAGGAGCTAAAACAAGCACAGTCCAACATGGGGCATATTTTCCCGTGTCCACCAGAACTCAGTATCAATCCCTTACCCTTTGAGATTCCATACCGTTTCTGCTCCTGTATCGGTCTTCCACCAAATGTCCGAATGCTTTTGGAAATGCGGGAGGGGTGCCCTGGGCCACTTGGGCGTTAAAGTGGAACCAGACAAAACAGGCACAGGGCCAGGTGCCACAAAACAAATATGACCTCCTGGCTTGGTTAGAGGGGGTGTTCGAGATGGCCAGACAATGGAGGCTGGCAGGTTTTTGCCTCTTGTTTTGAGAAGAAGTGATTCCCACGACACAGGGACACATCCAGCCCCCATGCTACACTGAAGCAGGACCCTTCGTGGCCGTGTATGCGCCCATGTGCGCTGGCTGGAAAGGGGCATTGGTGCCAGCGCTGATGTCGCCGGAGTTGGTAACCGATCGCGGAGTAACGAGAGGTCCTTTATGTGTTTCCACACAAGGGCGAGAAGGTGGAGGGACTACAGGCCCAAGCGCTGTATCCTTGGAGAGCCAAAAAAGACAACCACTTAAATTTTAACAAAAATGATGTCATCACCGTCCTGGAACAGCAAGACATGTGGTGGTTTGGAGAAGTTCAAGGTCAGAAGGGTTGGTTCCCCAAGTCTTACGTGAAACTCATTTCAGGGCCCATAAGGAAATCTACAAGGTATTTTTGTGTTTATCTGCTTCTGTTAGATGAAAACAATGTTAGGCATTAAAGTATTGCTTGCACTAGTTAAGCTTCACAGTTGGGGTTGCGGGATAATTCTGTCTTCCGGATCCTCTTAACTACAGAAGTTAGGGGCTCTGCCTGCAGAAGGCAGCCTCTGTCAAATAAGTGGTCGTTTCTTTCCTACACGTGTGGAAGGCTGCGTATCTTGTTTTTCAGTGACGTCTATAAGAGGGAATTCTATTCTGAGACCTGGAACATTCTTGTGGATTTATTGCAGACTATGCCTCTCTTCGTGCGTAGTACCCAGTACTACACCAGATACACACGAAGACTTAGAGGCTCAAAACATTTGGGGAAATAACGGAATGAATGAATTCTCTCTTTTGTTAGGAGCTTTAGAGCATGGCTCTTTTAACATAAAAGTTGTAGTTCAATTATCGCGATCACATAGGTGCTCAAAACAAATTATGAGCGTCAAGGAGAGAAAAATGGCAAAAGTCGTGGGCAAGCACCTGTCCTTCATGCTTGCAAATAGAGCAGTATGTTGGCTGCTCACCCCACGTAGCAAGTACTGAGAAGCAAGAACACGAGCTCAGAATCTGGTATCTGTTGCACATTCCGTGTTTTCACTGAGCGAAGCGTGTCTCTTTCCGCTGTAGGTGGGGCAGAGTTTTAAACATTAAGCAGCTTAAAAAAAAAAAAAGGAAATCAATGTCATATGTATTCATTTCTTTGAAGATAAAAATTAAAGTACCTTCTCTTCCCACCTCTTCCAGCATGGATTCTGGTTCTTCAGAAAGTCCCGCTAGTCTGAAGAGAGTAGCGTCGCCAGCAGCCAAGCCAGCTGTTTCTGGAGAAGGTGAGAACCCGAGTCAAATTATGCTCCTTAGGAGGGTCCTGGGGATCACGGAATATGAACAGTGAATGTTTAAAATGAGACAGGATTTCATTCTAAAATTGACTACGTTGATTGATGTCCAATGTGTCCCGCTCTGAGGTAAAATGAGAGGTTAGATCTTTCCCGAAGCAGAGTACTTCATGGAGACTTTCAAAATAGAATCAGATACATTGACCATAAACACTGAATCTTGTCATAATACTTGGTCACGAGCCCTTTGACCTTTAAAAGAGGCCCATCAGCGTCACTAGGGATCCAGTTTTGGGAGCATCTCTGTGGCTGAATCGTGGTCATTGCTTCCCCTCGTAGAGCCCGTTCTCCTCTGATCTGTACATCAGCGTTTTGTTGTAAAACTGTAATGACACAGTCGAGTAAAGCTGTCCCGGCGACCTCTGCCATCTCCCTGACCTCAAAGGGAACAGAGAAGCTTAGTTTTTCGGTTCCTGGTAAATAACCACATCAGGCGATTTAGGCCTAAAAATGTCATTTTGAGTATTTACGACACAATTAATGGCTTGATTTCCTGGGCTTTGTTTTCATGACATAATTCTGAGGACCACCCGTGCCCATGCACGGTGTGGGGTTTAAAATGAACGAAACCCACGTAATCCGGGCTCCAGTGGTAAAGATCCCCCGTCTTCTCTGCATTCGGTGTGGCCGTTCTCATCCGACTGAAGACCACTGCCTGAAGCGGCCAGGCTTTCCCCCGGAAGTCGGATCAGCGCTCCTAGCGGACAGAGGTCCACCGGTTGTGTCTGAAGTTTTCATGGGTTCCTCAGATAAATTCTCTGCAGATAGTGTGTTTGATTTCATTTCTTCGCCATCATGAGGTTGTTGCATTCCTTGGAAAGCATGCCTTGTGAAAGAATTATGAAAACCGTTGTTTTGGGGGAAACAGCAAGGATTAAGGTGCAGTGGCCCTTCAGACTCACGGTAACACAGTTACTTTTCCAGAAGGAATTCTGGAAGCAAAAATGTCTGTAGTTTATAAATACAGCCGTAGAAACCTCATCGCTGCCAGACAAATCCAGCATTTTTTTTGGATCTTTGCCGTTCCCACTGAAACGAACATCAGCAGAGTTCCATTTATACGTGCTTCATCAGTCATCTGAATGAGTGTTTTATCCACTAATGTTAGCAGAATGAAGCACCAAAAAGCTTTTTAAACACACCGTGTGTGGTCAGTTTTGTATAAAGCAAATTTTATGATTCTGCCCAGATTCACTGTTCTTTTATCCAATGAAGCTTATACCCGGCTCTCGCCTGCCAGCCACGTACTCGTGAGTGTGCCTTCGCCTCCTCATCTGGAAGGTGGGCATCGTGAACACCCCTTTGGGTAGAAAGTTACTACAGAGGATTAGGAGATCAGCTGTGTCAGGCATTTAGGAGAGAGGTCCGTGAGTGTCCGCTCACGTTCTTGCCTTTTTACTTCGTTTCCTGGATTGTCGATGGCGAGCCACTCGGCACAGCGGGCCTTCTCATCTAGGAACAGTTCCGATGAATGCTGATTTGTTTGGAAACACGTACGGAGGCCTTGCCCCTTGAGGCCTCGCAGAGGTCACAGGTGAACCACACACATTTAAAGTTGGGTAACAGAGAGAGATTGTCATCCCCGCTGACATTTATTGCATCCACCGTCAGGTGATTTAGGAATATTAGGAAACACTAGGAGGGAGATGGCTGGCCTTCCAGGGTGCCGTGGGAGAACTTGGCAGTTGACGTTCAGCGGAAAGCTGTCGACGTATATTAATGAGCCCCTTATTATACTGCATTAAAGGCGATCACATTTCAAGTAAACCATATACCAGATTGAATAGATTTGTAGGTTTGGGAATGGCCAGTGCCCTGTGGTAAATGACTCCGCAGGGAGGTCAGAGTGAGTGCCACCGCGGGTCCCTCCTCCCATGTCCCCGTTCTCACCGAGTCCCCACCGAGTCCTGCAAGATGGCCTGTGTGCACAGTGGGGCGAGCAAAGCCACGGTCTTTTCCAGTCTCCTTGGTATCGCAGACTGCAGTCCTAGGTTCAGCCAGAGTTCAGGCTTCTGAAGTTTCTGAAGCATTTTGAAAGTAGCTTCAACATTTGGATCCGTTTTTGAGAAAGCGACTTTGCGGCGCAGGAATCACTGGGAGAAGCCTCGATCTGCCGAGGACCCTGTCTGAGCTGGCGGCACGAGAGCTAAGGGTCAAGTGACAGCAGCACAGAAGGGAAGGGTCAGAGGACGGAGAAACCAGGGAGAGGAAGATAGTAATGAAAGAAGAATGCCCTTATCAAGACCGCCAGACTTCGATTTCCGTGTGTGGGAAATCCGTTTTCCAGTTGTAGCTGGAGGTGAGCCTTAGCCGCACGGAGGACTCAAGACACAGAAGCTTCTGTTCTCCCTGCACACTTGGATGACCTTGGGTCTGCTGCAGGGTCCGCACTCCCCAGGAGTCGCTGCCACCGTGGCTTATGGCTTACGCAGCCCTTGGAGGGCTCTCCCACGATGCAGAGCTGCCCACATTAGCGCATGCATTTAGGGGGCTTTGTGGTTTTTTGTGTTTGTTTTAGCTTTCATTAGTACCCCCTGCAGAGGCTCTTATAATGAGCCAAAAGAATTCCTCCATACTAAATTTCTGCCCATTAATTAACATTGGGCTCTGAATTTAAGGGCTCCCTCTGAACTTTTAGCCAGAAGCACGCATCATGCATCAGAAAAATGTACTTTCTGACTAGGTAAATGGTGATTTTTTTTTTTAACTACTTTTTAAAAAAAAATACCCAAAAGCCTAAGATAAAATGGAGAAAAAGTAGAAGCAAGAAACCCAGGTTGATCTTTCTGTAAATCTTTCATCCCGCCCTAGTGTAGTGATCTTTCGGAGAATACGATTTGCTTTCCGAGCCTTATAGTAAAGTCAGCTCTTTGGGATTAAAAAGAAAACGTTCCTCTGGAATGCACACCCTTCCCATGCGAGACCACAAAAAACATTAGTTCTCATCCTTTAAGAAGCGAATAATAAAATGTAAGAAACCGAGATTGCTTTTCAACTTGTCCAAAAAGGTTTGCTATTTTCTGGGATGGAGGAGACATTACTTTTATTATCAGTCCCTGCTTCCTGTTTGTGCCCCTGAATGACAAATGGATGCCCGTTTTTAACTAAATCGTGTGTATCCTTTGTTTTTCTGTTTTAACATCTTCCCACCATCCGTGTATATGGCACAAAAGGGCATAAGTTTTCACTCGGGCACTTGAATAATGAACAGTGTGTCTTATTTAATTTACAGAAAGGTTATACTGTATCTAAAACTTCTCCACCATTGTGACTTGGTACCCTTCAAGTGGAAATTACGGTATCTCCTGTGGGTAGAAGGTAGAAGTTACCTTCAACTAACATTTACCAACTAGTAAATGTTAGTTGAAGGTAAATGTAAACGCCATTTACACTTAAAAGGAAATCACGACATTAAAGTATGGCTCACTCCTGGCACTCAGTGTCCGTAGACGCGCAGTTGGCCTTTTTTGTTCCCAAGGCTGGGCCTTCACAGGAATTGTGCCCCTGTCTGCAGTTACTAAATGTTTATGTGCAATTGGGGAATTTGGAGTCCAGGGTGTTCTGCAATTCTGTTTTATCTGTGACAAGCCTTTCTCTTGAATGGATCTTATCTGAATCTCCTTATTCATAAAACTTGCATTTGCAAAGCTGTCTGGGTTTTCTGTAAACAATCAAGCTCTCCGTATCTCAATATTTCTCCCCACCAGAATTTATTGCCATGTACACTTACGAGAGTTCTGAGCAAGGCGATTTAACCTTTCAGCAAGGGGATGTGATTTTGGTTACCAAGAAAGATGGTGACTGGTGGACAGGAACAGTGGGCGACAAGTCCGGAGTCTTCCCTTCTAACTATGTGAGGCTTAAGGACTCAGAGGTAAACCCACATTAACTGTTTCCTCTCCCTTTCTGTGTGGTGATTCTCTTTGTGGGAAGCCACTACATTTTTCGGTGGAACGCTTTGATGGGTTTGGCTAAGTTCCAGGAACTTGACAGCAAACACAGAGTGACCCGTCATTGTTTGAGCTTGTCATTTGGTGCGGCAGGGTAAGCCGTGGCTTCCCACAAGCAGAAGAACTCCCTGGGGCCAAGTGGAGGCTGGGCTGAGTCACTGGGTTCCTGTTCAGCATTGGTCTCTGTCCCCGCATGTGACTGACGGAGGATTTGGAGTGAACGTGTTTCATTAGGCCTTCGGGTCGCTGATCTGGGATACCTTAGAAGGGCACACAGCAGTATTTCCCCATGTGGTGATACGGGTCCCAGAACATGGGACAGTAGAGAGTTTCAGAGTTTCTAAAATTTATATTTTTGCCTACACGTTAGGAAGATGTAAGGTTTAAGAGCTCGATAACGCTTTGGACTAGACCTTAGTACCTCAGGCCCACTGATGGGGGCCTGGATTTATTTTGAATGCTGTTATCCTTATAAATCAGAAATGGCTCCCATTGTTGTGACATGGGGCCATAAAAATCCAGTTGTGTACCAACTGGTCTTGAGGTGGTGCAAGTTTAATGAAATGGTGGGGTGCCCCCCCTCCCAGAGTATTGGGAGCCTGTCCCTTAGTGACACATTTCAAGTTGGTGGAGAATTTCAGGGTAAATCAATGTAGTCATTTAACAGATCAATTGCACATAAATAAACCAACAAGAATTGGCTCTTTTTTTTTTTCTTTTTCTTTTTTTCCTAACGCTGGCTTAGGTGTAAGCCAGAGGGACAGAGCTCCCCTCTCATCAGCATGCCAGTATGAGGGTGGACCTTGGGCTGGTCCCCAGGCCCTGCTACCTGCAGCTGCTTTGAGAGCCTGGAGCCGGGGCCCCATGCTTCCCCTTCTCTTCTGCCTTCCCTGCAGTGCCCAGGAGCAGTTTCTATTTTGCTTGGGTTTTGTTTTTTCAGGGAGTGTCATTTTAGCTGTTTTGGGTTTTTTTTTGTTTTTTTTGTTTTGTTTTGTTTTGTTTTCCCTTGCTGTGGTCTCCAGAGCAGCTTACTGAGATACCCAGGGAGGGATTTGCATTGCTTACCCTGAGAGAATTTGGCAGAAGCCTGGTATAAAGTGCTTCTCTCTGGTAGGACAGCCAGCGAATTGTCCTCGGCAGACCCAGGGAGGGGAGAATTTGGGCTTCTCTCCAAGAATCCAGTCGGATCCAGTAAAAATCATACAGAAGATATTTCAGAAGCGCAGGGGAAAAACTAAAACTAAACTCAGTTTCTACCACTAGGCATGAAGATTGTCAAAGTGATTACCTTTTGGAACAATTAAAAGACCAAAACCATTACTTACATTGTATTTTGATAAACTATAGTTTTCTATAAAAAAAAAAAAAAACCACCTGAAATTAGTAAGTTTAAAAAAAAAAAACCTGACATTTTTTTAAAGGTAAGCTGAGTTATAAGGTGCTTTTTAACCATGGTCTTAAAATTTGAGACACAGAAGAACCAACAAGTGCTAAAGATTTTGGACAAATACTTAGCAACGTTATTTCACAAGGAAGAAAAAAAGTCTAAAAAGTCAGCCTTTGATTCTCCTTGGTTACAGAGTTCAGTGTCTAAGGAAAATTTCCTGCTAAAACCAGACCCAGCCTCAGATATGAGAATTGCCCCTCTGGGCATGGGAGAGGTTGTCCTGTCCTGGCTTCCCTTCTCTCTGGGAGAAAGGCCGGGACACAGATGCTGAGGCAGCTTTTCTCCCGCATTCCTGAGGGGGTCCAAGACAAAACCCGGCCCTCTGAGTGTGTCTTCGTTTCTGTGCTGGCTGTGGTGTCAAAAAGGGAGCACACTGGGGCGCCTGGCTGTCTCAGTCAGTCGAGCATATGACTCTTGATCTCAGGGTCATGAGTTCAAGCCCCACATTGGGCATAGAGCCCACTTAAAGAAAAGTGGGGACCGCACCACAGCTGTTTGGACTCTGTTACTGGGTGTTGCCAAATACCTTGATCCTTTCATGGACTATAGGGAGTGTATTCTAAGTCCATACTGAGAAAGTTAACTGGTCCTTTGGAATCTTGTTTCATTAGCATTCCTTCATTTTGATACGCAGCCTCTAAAAATAGCAAGGGAGATTGGTATTAAATATTCCGTTAATACAGAAATCGTAATCAGAGTAAAAATTGTAACTTGGGCTCTCCCTGGTAAATGGTTATTAAATTTCAGTAACCAAAATAAAGGGACTGTGATAAGTTAAATAAATGGCATGTTTTTATTGTAGTAACTGTCATTTACTTTATTAAGCTTTTTTTTGTTTTATCTTGATTGGAATACTTAATTTACTGCCAGGCAGGGACTCAGGAATGAAAATCAATTCAGAATAAAGCCCTCAGTAATGACAGATTGCAGTCTGGCCCCTGTCCTGACTCGAGGTCCCTATTGGCTTATTCAGCTGGTTTAAAATTCCATGAGTATCCATAAAGGAATTCAACCCCAGAGCACTTTTGGAACAATTAATAGTTGCCAAAAAAGCAAAACAAAACAAAACAAAAACCTCTGGTCTGGTGTGCTTCTGTGGAATGTGCAGCCAGCACTGATAGAGGGATTTCAGGGTTTATACAGTGTAAGATTTGGGCGGAAAGGATACGCAGGGCGGTGGCTGCCTCTGGGGGTAAAGAGGTGAATGGGATGGGGGAGGCATGTTTGAATGGCCACGATGCTATTTCCTTTATTTAAAAAAAAAAACAAAAAACAACTCTAAAGCAAGTGTAGCAGACTATTAACATTTTACGTAGTAAATCTGGGTGTTGGGCTCATGAATGTCAGTCAGAGTCTCTGTAGTTCTTACGTGCGAAATGTTTAAGACCCATCTGAACACAAGCAGGAGCTCAGTGTTCAGGACCTAGACCAGTAGGTCTGGCACCCCCTGTTGGAGTTGACCCCAGGGACGGCAGGCACGGGATCTACACACAAGCAGCACCTGAGCCCTCTGGGACCCTACAGTGCCGCGTCCTTTGTTCACTTTTCTCCAAAGAAGAGGGTAAAAGCTGTGTGTTTAAAGCACTTGTTTTGTCCCCTGTTTTCCTGATACCCATCTGATGGCAGCTGGTACGGTGCTGCTGTGTTTCCCCAGAATGAGCAGGGGGGCGCCGGGGGCTCGAGCGGGCTTGTGTCGTCACTGATGGTGTTTGAAGTTGCATGGACGAAACTGTGCAGTATGCAAATGAGACCTTTTGCTCTGTTTTAAGGGCTCTGGAACTGCTGGGAAAACAGGGAGTTTAGGAAAAAAACCTGGTAAGTTACAAACCCTGATGCTTATTTTTCAGTGTTTTGAATGTAATTGCTAGTTGCTCCCGGTCTTGGTTTGGGAGGGCCGGAAGCCTGGAAGGGAAGACAACAGACTCTTTCGTAAGAGGGGTTGGAGTTTATCGTCTTCTCAGAATCCATTCACAACGTGTGCGTGGTTCGGAACTCTAGCTGTTGCTTCACACGTGGGGAGTGGGGACATTGCTAGACAGAGTGTTCCCATGGGTCGCGAAGAAGAGAGTCAGGCAAGGTGGGGGCAGGTTGTAACACGTGGAGCTCTAAGGTTTGGGCGCAGCCGCCGCGCCTCATCCTCCTGGGAGGTCCGGGAAGCTCACTTCCTCTCCTGACAGCACAGTTCAGTCCCAGGACAGAGACAGTGGCCAGGAGTCAAAGAGCACAGTAGAGGTCCCGTTAATGTAGAAGCCACGGGGTGGTTCCCCTCAGGTACACACTGAAGGTACGAAATACAGCCATGCCTCCGAATTCAGTTCTGTAGGTAATTGAACCAAAATCACATGTTCAACAAATAGTACCATGAACTCGAGGGACAAGAAGCAGCTGTGAAATCACACGGTTTGCGTGGCACGTCTTTTTGGTCTTGTGTCCGTAGGAGATGGTAGATGGGGACGTCCTTGGCAGGCTTCTGGGCGGGGTTGAGGGGGGGATAGTCTGGTGTTTCTGGGTCTGGTGCTCAGCTCCAGAAGGGCTTACCTGACAAGGACAAGTGGGTTCTTGGGTTGTCACAGGATTTTAGTCAGACTCCAGAGGCTGGGACACTTGGGTCCCCATCTCAGTTTTAACTATGAGGATTTTACATTTCGAATTGTCATTCCAAAGGGTCCAGATGGGCTTAATTTTGTACTGAAACCAGCAAGCTGCTCAGGGACACAAAAGACAGAGAAGAAAGCTGGGGGCAGATTGCTGGCTGTGCATGCCAGGTCCTTTGAGGAGCAGGAAAGTCTGAGGCCAAAGAGGACACTCATTTGGACTCTCTCCAGAACCAAAAACTCTTGGAATCTAGAGCTAGTCCTTGGAGGGTGAGGGGAGAATTCTTACCCCAGCACAGATTTCCCAGCGAGGGCTCTCAGCAGGGCCGAGGTGTGTGTAAGCTGGCCTCTTTTCTTGCTGCCCCTGATCTCCCCGAAGCATCTGGCAGGGCTGGGCCTGCCCCCTGACAGCCCGGTGGCCACCGGCTGATGGCAGAACGGGGTCAGAGGGGATTGCCTAGTGCATGTGCTTTCTGGAGCAGGAGGAAGTACCGTCAGAGGACAGGGGGGCCTTTTTACCTCTTTCCTTTCTTGCTTGCTTTCCCTCATTCCTCCTTTCTTTCAAGATCTGTTGTGGTGGGGAGAGAGCGTGGAGGACCAGAACAGTTTGTTCCGTATTGCTTCTAGAAGCTCCGAAAGCAGTCACTGCGGGTATGCCAGAATTCAGTCAGAGAAGCATTTTGTTTTTTCGTACTCGACCTCCTGTGCCAGTAGAAATGTACTTTTCAGAGCCTGGTCTGTGGTGCTGCTGGAATTTTTCCCATGAGATTTTTAACATTTAGAGAAAGTACAGAACTGTTTACGTTTTTTTTCCCCCCTGCTGAACTATTTTTGCATAAAATTCTCTTAACTCCCGATTCTTTTTTCTTAACCTAAAATGAAAGAAAACGTGCATTGATATGATTCCCACCTGATATTCAAGGATCCCCCTCAGAATGGGAGCTGCAGAGAAAATGGTCACGTGGGTGGGGCTGAGAGCCTAAAGCTACAACATCTAGATCAGCTAGCACCAGGCCCCTGAAAGTTTCTGGAGAAAATAGAAATCGTGTTTCTACTTACTTGGAAGGTGGGAGTCCCTTTATTCACTTCCCTAGCGGTGAGTGTGCTGGGTGCCAGCCCTGCGGTGTGGAGGGTGAGGAACCAGGCCCTGCGGCGGGCCTCAGGGCCTTGGCAGCAAGCGTGGGGGGGCCGGGACAGAAGGGGTAGGAATTGAGGGGCAAGAACGGGGTTCATAGAGAGAAGTTTGGTAAATGTGTTCTGAGGGAGGATGAGGAGGGTTTAGAGCAGAACCAAAAGACCAGCCGAGCCCGTGAATGGAGCATCTGGACTGTAGGTCGTGGAATGGGGGCTGTGAAGTGAGCCCCCTTCATTGAGCAGAAAACCAGCCCAGGGCACTGGCCTTGAGCCCATTAACCTGGGAACTGGGGAGGTGGCTGTGTCCTCCTAGAATTTCTTCTCCTGACCCTGACACGGCGCCGCCATGTTTGATCTTGTTTTCCAGAAATCGCGCAGGTGATCGCCTGCTACACAGCCACCGGCCCCGAGCAGCTCACTCTGGCCCCTGGTCAGCTGATTCTGATCCGGAAAAAGAACCCAGGCGGTTGGTGGGAAGGAGAGCTGCAAGTTAGTGTCTTTTCCATTTGTTGAAAATTCTCTGTCCACATTTGAGTGTGTAAGATGTCAAAGGGCAAGGATGTCCTTGCAAAGGCCAGCGGAACCCCCGCCACCTGGTCCCGCGCTTGGATATGGGGAGGCGCCCCGTCGTCGGAGTCTGCGCGTTGGTTTTCTAAGCATCAGGCACCCAGTCAGTAGCAGAATGGGGAGAGCTAAGGATTCCCGAGAAGGTTTGTCCACATCGGCCTGCCTGCTGCATCCCCAGGGTGAGAAGTCATGGCCAGGGGCATCTGTAGAGTCGTCCTCACGTGTTGTGGCGTTACAGAAGCCGCGTTCGCCATCCTTAAGTGTAAGGTGTGGCACGAGAGCTGCTTCTGTGTCACAACAGGCTTCGTTCCTGAGTGGGGTGGGGGGGTGTGCCTGTGTGTGTGTGTGTGCGCGTGTGCGCGCGTGTCGGTGTCTTCCATCCGCCATTTTGTCGAGGCAGACCTTGGTCAAGGAGAAGATGGCTGTTGTGGTGCGTTGAAGAGGGAAGTCCCTCTCTGTGCACATGGGCAGCCAGTGACACAATGAAGTGCCGGGAATGGCCAGCACCGTCTAGAGTGTAGCCGGAGACTCGGCTAGTCGTGGGCAGCGCCCTGGTGGGCAGCCGTAACACCTGTCCAGCGGGGCTGACCACACTCACCCGCCGGCCTCGGGAATCTGACCTGGGGGGGCGGGTAGCGGGCCTCCCGTGCTGGCGTCCCCTGAGATGCCCACAGATGCCCCCTTCCCTCCCCAGCCATGCACTTGCTAGTCTGCCCAGCCCTCGGTGACCTCTCCGCTGCAGCCTCTTCTCATTGGGTGATTCGTTCTCAGTTGACAACAAGCCCTCCTCCAGGTTCGGGGACTGCCTGAGAGTAACATGCACCCCCAGGCGTGGGAGACCACCGGAGCTGGCTGCCTCCCACCCCTTCCAGAAGGGGGGACATCTTCCCCTGAGCTGTGGTGGTCCCGATGCCCACACCACTCATGGTGTTAAATATTGATGATACTGTTAGCTTCTCACCCAAATGTCTTCTGTCTACATGCAGGTTATCACTGTTTTGAAGGTGGTAACTGTTGTGTTTTTGTTTTTTTTTTTTTGTCCTCACCCTCCTAGCACCTTGCTGAAAAGATAGTTTTGAACAATTCTCGCAATCCCCAAGAAAATGGGTGAATTGCCAGGCCCAGGAGGGCTTCTGGTGCCTTCACCAGGAGCTCTCTCATTGTGGGTGCACAAACGAAGAAACTGCCAGTGAGCTCAGGGTTCTGCCCTTGTTTGAGGGCAGGGATAGGGCCATGGCAGAGTTGTTGCAAGCCATATGGCGGCCCACTAGATAGAGGAGCTCGTGGGGGCTTGCAAATGAGAGGCCGCAGTCGTGGGCGGATTCCCTGTAAGCCTCAGTCCTTGAGCCAAGGGCAGGCAGTCTGCGGACCACAAGGAAAGGGAAACGCGATCCGTGTTCTAAAAGTAACCCAGCTGGATCCTTCTCCATGATTTGGCAGGTGGGAGGGCAGAGTTAAGGTGGAGGAAGTTTTCTTTTCTTCTAGTTTTCTTTTCTTATTTTGCGGATAGGGAATATATTCCCAGGGTTTAAAATTCAAAAGTAAGCAAAGGGGATAGGGAAGGTCTCCCTCCCACCCCTGTCCCTGAAGGCAACTGTTTTTCTAGAGCAATCTGTGTGTGTGTGCGTGTGTGTGTGTGTGTGTGCGTGGGTGGGTGCGTGGGTGTGTGTGTGTGGGTGCGTGTATGCGTGTGTGGGTGGGTGGGTGCACGTATGTATGCATCATTTTGAGTTCTCTGTTCCCGTTGGCATAGTTGGGTGCTCGTAGCGCTTCTTGTCATTCCCAGCTAGACCTTGACCTCATAGAGTCAGTCGCAGGTCTCGGCTCACCCTGTTTGAAAACAGGACAGGTTCAGACCCTCTGTGTTCTGTATATAGCGCCTGCGTGTCATCCCACTTTATGCATAAGAGCGCAGGCGCGAGTGACTATGGCTCACCGCTACCTGGCTTGTAACTGTCACTGGGCTTTTCTGGGCCTCACTTCCTGCATCCGGGAACCGGGAATAGTCCTAGTACTCTCTCTCTGGAATCGCGCAGGTGGACGCACGTGGGGTGCTCGGCGCAGGGCTCGACTTCTCAAAAGCACCCAAGAAGTATTGCCTGCTATTCTTGGTAGTGTCTCATTATTGTCACCGTCACCGTTAGCCTCAAATCCATACGTATTGTTGCCTTCCGCCGTCATCCCTGCGTCCCCTGAAAGTCACATGTGAGAGCCAGGGCCGCCTGAGTGGGTGCCCTCTGCTAGACCTACCCCGTGACACCCAGCTGGGAGCCACACGGTCCCGCCCATGCAGACACATTCCAGGCTCCGCTGGCCAAGGACGACCCCGGTTTGAATTCTCGCTCAGTGTTTTCATCGTGTAACACAGAAACTCAGAAATGCTGCTGTTCACACCAGACGGTTTGCGGCTCCGTGTGAACCTTGTGTGTGCGCTCTGCTGCGTAGCGGACTGGCCCCTGAATGATGATGACCCTTTTAAGCGTTTCACGGTACTTGTCTTACTAGGCACGTGGGAAGAAGCGCCAGATAGGCTGGTTCCCTGCTAATTACGTAAAACTTCTAAGCCCCGGGACGAGCAAAATCACTCCAACGGAGCCCCCGAAGCCGACAGCGCTCCCGGCAGGTAGGCAGCGTGCGATCTCCCCTTGGACGATGGTCGGCGGGTCCCGGTCATCCTCCCGCTGGGTTCCCTCCCAGAGTGTCTTAGAGCGGCTCTCACAGCTGCTGTAAATACTTCTTGTACTTGCCGGGACCAATCCTCAACTAAAGGGATATGGAATATGTTTTTCAAAAGGACCGAGTGTCTAAGCAGCTTTGCTGTCCTGGGCACAACAGAGCCCTTGTTGGGACTGTCTTCTGAAGGAGTTGTGAATGCTGTGGCATTACAGCCAGACTTTTCTCTTGATTTCCTTCCAGCTGTTTAAATCGGGATTTGGGCTAGGGGCTGAGGGGACAAAAAGGGACTCCTAAAAATAAATGGCCGGGGTCTCAGTAGGTCAGGAGACAGAGCTGGAGGCCACGGGGGTCTGTTGGTTGTAATGGGTTGCCCGCCGAAGACTAAAATAGCTCCCCCGTGACATTTCCTGTGAACAGAGGGGGCTTCGCTCAATGGACAGGATGTCGTGCACGCTCCCCTAAAGGACTCAGAGGAACACAGGGCACCGCGGCTGAGGCCGTTGGCTATTTTCTGACTGAGGAGACCAAACTAGATGCTTTGGTCATATTTGAGATGGGCGAGGTTAGGGAAGCAGGAATCTGCCCTCGGGTCTTCAAGCCACCAGCTCTTGGGTGGCATTTCTGGAAAATGTGTAACTTTCGTTGGCGTCTGTGCCGTATATGCCCAGTGAAATACGATGACAACTTGGCAGACTTTGCCAGTGCAGGGATTGGCAAAGCGGGACTGTTCCCAGCCCTGGCTGGGCCTCTCGGCTGCGCTGTGGGCCTCCTGCGGGCGGAGGGGGCAGTGCCAGCCGGGCCCCCTCTCCCTTGGGGTAGTTGGGCGGGACCCCCTTCATCAGGTTGGTTGAAACCCACCAAAAATAATTGGCCGAAATGATTCAGTTAACTTGCGGAACCTAAACCCATAGATAACCTGGTTGAGGAAAATTAATGAGAGGCTCAGCCTAACCACGCGGACTTATCCAAAGTGTGCTCAGGCCACAGAACGAAAGCAGTTTAACCTCCCACAGGTTTGAGGGAAAGTGAGAAGGGGAAAAACCTTCTTGAGCGTGGCTATATTCTCCTTGAGACAAAATTTTGAGCCACAGAGATGATAGCAGAAGAAAACGTTGGTTTTACTTTTCAGTAAGATTTTGATTTTGGAGGTGAGGGCGGATGGCGGGGGGGGGGGGGGCGGTGGCGGGGAATGAGAGGGGAGGGGAAAGAAGGAAGCAGAGCAGAGTGGCTGAGTCCCCCATGCACCGCCGTCCTGTGCAGTCAGCATTCCAGGGGTGCGTTCCTCCGCTCACTCGGAAGCGATTCCGAGAGCTTTCCGGCATCCTTGCAGATTTTCTGCTGACATGAACGCCCGACAAAGAGGAAGGTATCCCACCAGCTAGACTTAGTGTGAAATTCTGCCGTCACCTTGGTTTTTATGCCCTCGCCTCCCCCGGTCGCCCCCGCTTTGCAAAAGCCCACCAGAGCCGCTCGCTGAATCGCATCCCATCCCGAGAGCGCGGCACCGCAGTGCGGGAGCGTGTGGGGAGCGCCTGCCGCCCCTTGTGCGCGCCCCGCGGCCCTCACCCGGCCCTGTCTCCCCCAGTGTGCCAGGTCATCGGCGTGTATGACTACAGCGCCCAGAATGACGACGAGCTGGCCTTCAGCAAGGGCCAGATCATCAACGTCCTCAACAAGGACGACCCCGACTGGTGGAGAGGGGAGGTCAACGGCCAGGTGGGGCTCTTCCCCTCCAACTACGTGAAGCTGACCGCGGACACAGACCCAAGCCAGCAATGTAAGTGCCCTTGGCCGCCGCGCCGCCTCTCCCCTCTGGTCTCTCACGGTCACCCGGTCACCCGTGCGGCACTGCTCGGATCTGGCTGAGCTTTGTTTGCAGAGCGGAAAGCCAGACCATTGCTGCATTCACGACAGTCTCTTTGAAGACCTTCTGTAATGCGAGACTTGACCTTGTGGGGTTGTTTTTTGTTTTTGTTTTATTGTTTTGTTTTGTTTTCATTCCTTCTGTAGCATGACCCCTCCCTCCCCTCCCCTCCCCCCTTTTTCCTTTTTTTTTTTTTTAATCATTTTGGCACCATGCTGTTTACATGCCTGACTCATTTTCCTAGCTTGAATTTTGCTCATTGTTTTGTTTTGCTTATGTGTTGTTTTCCTCCTTTTTCTAGGAATCATATGTTGTCCATCCCCCCCTCAGGCTTGAAAGTCCTCAAAGAGACCCACTATCCCATATCACTGCCCAGAGGGATGATGGGAGATGCAGCCTTGATCATGTGACTTCCAGCATGATCACCTACTGCCTTCTGAGTAGAAGAACTCACTGCAGAGCAGTTTACCTCATTTTACCTTAGTTGCATGTGATGACAATGTCGAGCTATTACTTACAGAGCTAGAAGCGAACCTTACAAAAAACACACAGGGTAGTGGGTCCTTTTGTGGCTTTCCTAGTGACTCAAATTGACGTTCCCCCCTCCCACCTTTGCACAGGTGCTTTCAGTAGTTTTAAAAGTGTTTTTTAAAAAAACTATATTTTAGCCTTTTAATAAAAATCAATCAATTACTCCTTTGCTATTTCGGTTTTGCAAAAAGACCCACTATCAAGGAATGCTGCATGTGCTATTAAAAAAAATGTTCCAAATGTCCATAAATCTGAGACTTGATGTATTTTTTTTTCATTTTGTCCAGTGTTATCAACTAAATTGTGTAGTTTGGGTCCCCCCCCCCCCCGCCCGCGCTGTAGACGTGCAAAGGAATTCAGTATATCTGTTTTTAAAGACATGTAGAATGACCCCAATTAAACCGAAGGTGTTTTGTGCTTGTTTGTGTGTATCAGATGTATCTTGCCGAGCATGTAACAGTACATCGTTGTACATAAGAAATCCGTTCTTTCCATGGCAAAAGCTACTACCTTGTACGATGCTCTAATCACACTGCATTGATTGGATTTTGCACGGTGACCCTGTAGCCCCAGGAGAAAGCACCTGTGTTTTCGTTCGTCTCAGATTTATCTGGTTGAGCTGGTGTTTTCTGTTTTGGGCTTTTAACTTGGCGTGTTTTCAGACCATCAGAGCAGTAGACGAGACACCATTGGGTTGGTTACGACTCACAACACCCACAATCTCTTCTCGGTCTCTGTTACGTGAAGTTTTTATTCCAGTTCCTTTTCACGGAATGACCTATTTCGAACAAGTCATTTTCTTGACAAGAAAGAATGTATAGAAGCCTCCCTGCGATTAATTTCCAATGTTTACATTTTTTAACTAGACCGTGGGATTTCCGCAGCTTAATAGGAAACGGAGCTCCTGGTCTGTGTACCTGTCCAGTATGTTGTAGCCGAAGCCACGTGTGTCCTTTTTAAACACTAGTTGGAAGCTCTCAATAAAAATGCCCATTGCTAACAGCCCAGGAGCCCGGGCGGGGGAAGCCTCGAGCACAGTCTCCCAGTTTCCACTAACGCCTTTGTAACCTGCAGTTACCTTCTGTTTTTACATGTCCCTCGGGAGCAGGTGCCTGTGCTGGCAGGTGTGTCGTTGAGGCCCTACCCAGTCTCGGGCACGGGGGATGGGGGAGGCTTCTCCTCGTCCCCTTGCCCGTCTGGATGTTCATGGATATGAATGTAAGATATAGAAATATATAAACCTGCGGCTTTAACAACTGTAATACACCCTTTGGAATTAGTGACGTGTATAGATAATTAAATTCTTCATATAAAAGTTAGACGGAAATGTCTCTGTGTTTTGGTGTTGGAACCTGGCCGTGGTGTTGGGGGACCAGGCAGACTAGATGTCAGCAGGGGGCCAGCGGCCCGCGTGTCCCTCAGGACGCTTGGGCTTTGAGATACAGACCCCGTTCCACTCCTCCCCATGTCTTCTCCGAACGGCCCTCCCTCTCACCTGGCTCCCCAGCCCTCCCCGATCAGGGAGTAGAGGGTTGCCCCTTACAAGACGGGTTTTGAAGACTTGAACGGCCGCACAGCGGAGTGGCTTACTGTCTCCTCGGGCTTCCAGGGTGTCACTGATCCATTGACAGGCACGTGAGGGGACTCAGGGCACAAAACATTTTTCGAAAAGACGGATCGTAATCTGGGTCTGTTGAACATATCAAACAGAACGTGTGGGTGGAGGTGGGAACTCTCACACCCTCCAGACCGCGTCGCCATCCATTTCTGCCTCGCACACGCCAGTCTGGTCACCTTTGCAGAAATAAACCAGTGTACACGTTGACGAAACTTCTTTGCAACAATGACCACACGCTTCGCTTACCCTCCTCAGCTGTTCAGTTGAAGAGTGATTTCCTTCATCAGCAAATACTTTGGGCGAGGTGTCCCCTGGGTTCTCATAGAGACAGGGCCCATGTCCTCTTGGAATTCATGTTCTAACAAGAAGAACAAGCAGAAACCCAACTGCCGCAGTCCGTGTAGACATATTGGGGGGGGGGTGTCTGTGTGGTCAGGTGATCCGTGTCAGAGGGTACAAGGCACCCCTGAGCAGGACACCCAGAGCAGATGGGGTGGGAGGGGGCAGCAGCAGGGAGAGGGGCAGAGGACCCTTCCAGGAGGAAATGATATTTAAGCTGAGACCCAAATCAGTAGGGGCCAGATGCAGCTGGGAAGTGGCTGTCCTGGGCACAGATGTCAGGACCCGCAAAGGTCAAGAGGTGGATGGAGGAGTCTCCCATCTCCAACCCACCCCCCCGCCCCCAGCTTGTGGAGCAGTTGAGGCAGCGAGCCCCATCTCTTGCCTAGGACCCCTTCACCACATAAGCCAGTGTTCCTTCTCCAGCCTTGAGTTTGGCCAGAAGTGACACATTGTCAAGGGGGGGTAATGCTCTGCACACCACGTCACTCTGTCCTCAGTACCCTCCGTGCCGATCCCTGTGGGCTGCTTGCCCCTCGCAAGCCATTCAGTTTGCATTTGATTGGAGGGCATCCGTCTCTCCCAGGTCTCACCCAGCGCATCTCAACCGAGGCGGGGCGGGGGGGTTACTGGCCTCTAGCGGATGCAGCCCGGGGATGGTGTTACCTGTGCTGTGATGCATGGGGCCCTGCCCTACTGGCACCAGAGAATTATCTGGCCCCAGATGTCACCAGTACCCAGGTTGAGAAACCCGGGTCTCACCCACAGGCCACTGCGGTTAGAGTTCACCTGGTTGGTCAAGGCCAAAACCGGTTCCTTGTTGCTGGCGGCTGAGTTTGTGCCGGTAACTACTGTTGAGTAAACGTAATCCTTTAAGTTCATGCCCTATATATGTAACATAAAAAAAAAAAAAAAAAATCCCAGAGTCCTGGTTCTGTATTTTAGACTTGATCTTATTCTTCTTGGCTATTGCCCAAACCGTACAATTTGGGATAAAATACTTTTTAGTCCTGTTCTCGGAGAATCTGGCTAACAAAAAAGTTGGATAAAAGAGAGGAAAGGCATCTTTAAATTAGCGAAGTCATGCTGGCTATCTCCTTTGGCCCTGGAGTTGAAAGAGGTCAGATTGTTTTTGAGTTGTGAAACAAAAATAACTGGTCATTAAATCATTTAACTTCATAATTGGAATGGATTTGTCATGTGAACGGACTTTCAGTACAGTGGCATATGGACAAGAAGAGTACAGATGAGATCACCTTCCTTTCGTGGTTCTGAGTTGCCTTCCTAAGGCCAGCCGCCTCTCCACACTGCAGATCAGGGCCCAGGGGGCTCTAGGAACAGAGTGGGGGCCAGTGGGCCAGAGCCCAGAACACCTCTGCACTAAAGGGTGTCCAGGAGAAGCTGATCTAAGCAAGGATTCATTCCTTTATAAAGTCAAAAAAATATTACACCTCCGGTGGGCACTGGTGTCTGCTCCGTTTCTGGAAGGGAATCGGGTAGATCCAGACTCCTGATAGCAGATGGTGACCAGGCTCTCTACGCCTTCTTTGAACCCATCTGAAGAAAAAAAAAAAAAAATGGGTAATGCCAGCTTAAGAAAACCCTCTAATTAGGTTGAAACATGAAATTGCCAATATTCCGGTTTCTCACCCATAAAACAGCAATCCTTGTTGCTTAGTATGCTGTACGGTCGCCTTGGCATACAGTAGCTTAGGTTCTCAGAAGTGCCATTTGAATGAGCAGGTTGAGCCATGGACGACGAGCAGGAAGCCGGGGTTCCGTTCGCGCTGTACCACATCACCCTCAGAGAGGACGCCAGGGTGGGTCTGCAGTTCCCTTCCCTTTAGCTGTGAGCTTCCCAGAAGCAACGGTGTCCTGGCAAGGGGGCTGCTCCTGGGGTCTCTTGCTCATCTGGTCTACGAAGAAGGCTAAGGACAGGGGATGCCAGCATGTGGCGACCTTCATCCAGGCCAGGTCTACCCCCGAAGTGGGGTGGGCGGAGGCACCCACCCAGATCTCGGCTGCGGGTGGGCCTACCCCATCACGGCCCTGCTTCCGGGCCAATTGAAAATTATTTCTGAGAGTGAATATTCATTTTTTTTTCTTCTAGCAAAATTATAAGTTAATCCTATTCATTCTTCTTAGTTCCAAAAGTACCCAAGAGAATTTTTATGGAAACTACATGGACTGCCAGCAGTCCTAAAATGCACAGGGAAGAGGGAAAAAAAGCATCTTCTTCGAAATGTCTGGTATTTTGGATCTGGTGGACTAGGGGACCATAATATCAAAGTTCATGGTAGCTTTTTGTGACTATTACACACACAATCAACCAGAGTTCTCTTGGGCCTTTCTTGAAGCAAACTCCACTCATGAAAAACCAGATTTCCAGAATGTTGCCTGATGTGTAGCTATTTCATGATCTGTC